AAAAAAAAAAAAAAAAAAAAAACAAAAAAACAAAAACAAAAACAAAAACAAAAAAAAAAGTATCCTACTAATTAGCTCAAAAAACATCTCAAACTATAGGCTCCACGATCAGGTTTCAAGGTAATCTGGCAGAAAAATAATAACTCAACACTCCTCATTATTCAGAGTATCACAATTTGCAACTAAAGCCCCTTTCACTAGAAGAAGATATGTCTGAGAAAAAGATTTAAGAAGAAAAAAATAAAAAATAAAAAAAAAACTAAAAAGATAGTCATTTTTAGTTTGTTGCCTCAAGAGCTTCAGCCTCTCCATCACGGTAATCACCCCAAAACCGTAGCACCTTGCCGGGGCCGAAGGCGGCCCCAGCCGAAGGACCTATCCATCCAAAGTCCAAACCCACCACGAGACAGGAGCAGGAGAAAGTGCAAGCTGCAAACTAAGCCCCGACCACCACGAGGGCGGCGATCTGAGCCCGCCGCCATGCCCGGACTTCACTCCGTTCGAAATCCCACCGACCGTCATGGCGACAAAAGTTGTTGGGAGAAGCGTCACCAGCGACCGGCATGGATCCTCAGGCCTGATAGAGTTTACGTCGCGGCCATAGTGCCGGCCGGCGACAAGGAGCCTCGTCGGTGGAGTGCTGCAGTCGCGGTCAAAGGGAAGAGGTGATTTGGGAGGGATCGTGTATTTGTGAAAAATCTTATTCTGGTTAAGATTAACTTGTAGTGGATTTGTTGCAAAAATTAAGGAGAAAAGATTTTGCTTAAAACATTCCATATTTGATATGTAGACTTCTGAAAATTAAAAATCAGGTATATGTGCAATTATTTTGTGTTGAAGTTGCATTTAAATAAATAAAACTAATTGGTGTTGAATATGTAATATAATTATTTTATGAAAGTATAGGGTGTAAATTCCTCTTTATAATTTTCATGTAATTTTAGATTATATTATCTCTTTTATACTTTTTATATTTTTATGTTCTATTTAGTTTTTTATATTTTTATTTTAATTTAATCAAACAAAAGTAGTACATTACATAATGAATTGTGTCAAACATATTACAGTTTTTATAATAATAACAAAATATTGCATGAAAATTTTGGTTGACAACTACACATACATTCTAGTTAATCTTGTTTATTCGAAATCTTTTTAGTTTGAGGAAGATTGAAAATATGCACAACAAAACTAAATTTAAATCTTTTACAAGAACAATTCCATGGTGAGCCAGTTGTTTTGCTCACTCCCACAATTATCATTTTCAGGTTGACCAGCTGTCACCAGACGAGGGGTAGTGGTGGTCATTTCTATGAGTTGCAGTTTTATGCTTCCAGTTAAACATCTTCCAAACTTGTTATTTTCAAATATTTTGAGACTATGTTTGGATGTTGAGATTTAGTTGTTTCATTTCAATTAAAGGCTAGTATCGATCGTTCTGCTTCGTCTTAATTGATTTTAAAAAAGAAAGTAAGTTTTGTGAAGAGATTTTCTAAGAATATAAGTGCGAGACTTAGGTTAAGATAAGAAAGAAAGAAAGAAAGAGTTTTTAAGTAAGTACTCGAAGAAGAGTTTTATAAATTAAATTATATTCAAAAAAGTTCAAAATTCTTTCTAAAAATCAGACATTTTCAAAGTATAAGTAGAGTGCGCTTACAATAAATACGTCTCGTATACTGCTAATGGGTATGTGTGTAATGTCCCCAATGATACAACGACTATTGACACGGAAGTTGTAGCATACCAGACTTCTGAGTTCGGCAAATACGAACAGGGTTGAGAACTGAGCAATGTATATGATGCATAAGTCTTTCAGTATAGAATGATATGCAGTTGTATATGTTTTGTCTGTACTGCAGCTTTTACACTATCCTATTTATAGGACTTCTACACAGGTAGGATATGACTCTTCAGCTTCTCAGGTGTTAACTCACCTTCATTCCACCTAATAACCACTGAAACAATCAAGTGATGGACAGGTGAAAGGTCACACGTCCAGGTTCAATGTACTTGGAAGGTCTCACATGGGTTGAGTCAAAACCCCAAACTGAGACCAAACCCAACTCGATTTGAATTTTATCTTGGGCTTCAAAATTGTACATAAATTTGCACCGGAAAGATATATAGTGGTTGGGCCCAAGGTCTAAGCTCTGCACCAAGCCCGGTACCGGCACAGATCGACCATGGCCAGTCCACAGTCCAACTACCAAATACCAAGGACCAAACCAATACACAACCATCGTTTTACGTGCCCATTTATGACTAACTTTAACCATTTATTTATCAGTCACCGAAAACCAACTTTATGAAAATAAATATACAATAAGCCCCTGTTTGTTTTGTAGGATTAGGCAGGATATCCTGCCTAATCCTGGCCTAATCCTACGTTTGGTTCGCTGAACTAAGGCCCGCAGGATTGGCTAGGCCCGGTATAAAAAAGTGAATTATCCCATGAAATCAGGATAATTTAATCCCTCCATTAACATGGGATTAATCCAATCCCAGGAAGCTGAAGTCGAATATACCCTTGTTTTAATAATTTTTGGACAATTTTGACCTTCCCTATAATTCATTATCTGGATCCTTCAACATAAACGAAACAATTATTTTCCCAAGATAGGATTTTCTGCTTTTCCAAATACTTTTGCTAAGAAGCATGCTGACAAATATTTAACCAATCAATTAAATTAACTAGTCCTATGAGAAGAAAAAGGTTATGATGTCACACAGATTTACGGGCAAGCTTCCTAGCAGCCATGATTTTCCCTGTTCCTGGTGGCCCATAAAAGAGCATGTTTCTGAACGGTGCCTGATGGGCTTTTGTATTTGCTGTTGCACTTGTCAGCTGCTCAATCCCCTTCTAGAGAGAAGGGTGTAAAATGACATCACCAAAACTGTTTCAATTTTTGTGGTGGGAGAATTGGGGAAGAATGGTTTTTGGTTTAATTGAAAGGGGATAAAAGTATTTTATACCACCTACACATTTTTTATTTTTTTTTAATCCAAACTTATCCTACCTCTTATTCTATATAACAAACATAGGATTAGTCCAATCCCAATAGTACAATCATTTCCAGTTGGACTAAATTAGTCCAATCCCATCCCAAAAAGCAAACAAGGGCTAAGTATTTACTCGAAATGTAGATTTTTTTACACAATTTAATTCAAGCCGATTTGGAAATGAAGCATCTCAGCGATCCTTCCCCATCTGGAAATTTGGGGGCCTCTATGTTGTACCCAATAATACTCGATCGCGAAAGCTTCCAAAGGATGAAAGCTCAAACATGTTAAACAAAGGCCCACTGAGCGCATTATCATTCTCACGAATGGCCCAATACAGCAGGGTTAGAGTTGTCGATCCCCCTCGAAGTCTTCTCGAGGAAGCTTGTCGATCACCCACAAGTTTGAAATACAAACTCGTAAAGCTTATGTCATCGCCCAACATGTCCCATCAAGCTTTGCATGGATACACGTGGGGGCACTTTACGCTCCTAGCTAGCACCTAGCATTTAATGTGTCATCATTCTTTTTCTTGTATAAATATCGACCTCCTTTGGGTCCAAAATAAGGCATCCATCGATCTATCAACCATCAACGCCATATCACTACACCCTCGGTATATGCTTCTCTCACAATCTGATCTTCCGAGATAATACAAAGATACACTTATCATACTCGGTTGTATACAAGCCATAGTTGATCAACAATATCATTGTTTTGCTCTCTCTTTATGCATGTTTACTTTATCACGATCTGTCTACCATTTACCATTAAAATATTCCATAAATATTTCGTAATCCATGATTAAACAACATTAAAAAAATATAATTTCCGAAATCGTTGGCGGACGACCGAAAAAACCCATTCAACATGCTCAACAACGAAATCATAGATTTATACACGCATAAATTGATCAAATCACATGCCTTTTCCATCTTATGAAACACCGAGCTAACATTTCTTTTTCTTTACACAATAAATTTGGATTCGCCCCTCGAATAAACATTCATATAATGCAAAAATTATTTCAATAATTGACGTATTCCAATATTCACGAGACCTAAGCAACTATTTCACATTATAATATTATATCAATTGGCCAACATATTTCACATATAAATTACCGGTTATGTTTAACTCCGGGAGAAAAAGCCGGCCACCAGTCACCACCACCACCTCCACATGAGGACAGCCAGACAGCATCCGACGAGACGCTAACCCCCCCTTTTCCTGCCTTCACCTCCTATAAATACACGCACTCCTGGAACAAAAACACATATCCTTAGTTCCTTACACAAGCAAACATCAATACAAGACCATCCCAAAACAAAACTAAATTCTACTTTCCAACATCTGTCCCAATTCATTTCATATCTTGGCCACCATATTCACCACTGCCAAAAGGCAGGGCAACATCAACGGATGTCATCAGACCCGACATCCCGCCACCACCCGCCGCCATCCCCAGGCCAAGTAGGTCAAGTGTGGCCAGTTCGGGCCCAAACACTGAAGGAGTTCCCAGCATCAGCTCCTTCAGGCCCGACCCACCATCGCACGCTAGCCCCAGACTGAGACCTCCTGCCATCGACATGCCGTCGGGTTCGAGCCCATGCCCCCCAGGCCCGTCCGGGCTGGAAATCACGCCGAGGCCCATAAGAAGAGACGAGTTTGATTTTGGGCCCATCTGAGCGGCCTTCTGCAGCAGTGCAGTTGCTGACATGACGGCAGGCTGCGGGGCTGGGGCATACTGCCGGCGCTCGAAAATTGACGAACCCTGATGATTTGTGGAGAGGCACAGGGAAACCGGATCCAGCGGCTGGACATCAGGCTGGGATACAGGCCACACCATTTCCGCAAAACTGGTTGATTGAGAATGGAAGCTTCCGGAAGTTGCGGATGGAGCAAAAGTTGTGGTCAACACATTGCCGGTGGAGCTTCCACTGCTGCAAGAACTAGTGCTATTGCAGCTTGCTTTTATATTTGCTATGGTAGGGATTACCGAGATATTCTGTGCAGTCGATGGATTAGGGTCCGTCACTTTGGGCGATTCTGTTGATAGTGCATCATCACAACGAGTAGAATGAAAACTAGGGAATGATTTGACTTATTAGAAGAAAAAGACAAAGGACAAGTAATATTAATGATAGAGGTTTGGAAGAAATGAAAAGAAGAACTATTATGGAATTTGGTCTTATTATTAGCTTTTTGGATCTTGAATCTATTGTTGCTTTACCATAGGCTTTTCCTGGACTATAAGTATTAAATATCAACTGTATCTTACAGTTCTCCATGAAAACTCTACGTTCATAAAATATACCGTAGTACCAACTAGTTTTTATATGAATCTATATCAGCTAGCTTAAATTTTTAAGCGGATCAAAACAAATTCCGGTAACCGACAAAAAACAGCTAAACTCCAAGTTTAGGGACAGATATAATATAAAATTTTCTCTGGAACACAAAAGATCTCATCTGTAGTCAAACTACCTGGACCTTTAACCGGCAAAACAGAGGACAACACGGGAATCGGCGGTGTCGAAGCTTCCGGTGGGTGTGGAGGAATTGCGGGGGACGGCGGAGGAGATGATGAAGCCGACTTAACAGAGTCGACAGATTTACTCTTACGTTCATCTTCTGCAGGACTCGAGGGCGCCTCAGTTGTCCGGGCTTTCGAGCTTTCCTCTGCCAATGCATCACAAAACGCCCTGTGCGTAGTAAAACAATCCCTCCTGCAAAATTTACCAACACATCAATTAACGCAAATTCACACAAAATCAACAAAACAAAGAAAAGGAAAAAAAAAAAAAATTTGCTACCTGGAGAACAGAGTCCCACAATCGCATCTGTACTCTCGGGTTCCACAAATCTTTGAATGGGCTTTCCAGTCGGACTGGACGGCGTATTTCTTGGAGCACTTCTCGCATTTCCACTTCTTCTCGCCGTGCTTCCTGCAGAAGTGCTTCTTGATTCCCGTCAGGTCGCCGAGGGCCCGGGCCGGGTCGTGGTGGACGCATCCGGGCTCGGGGCAGATGTAGACCCGTTTCTTGACGTCCTTGCCGGACCTCTGCCGGAGCTTCCACGGCAGATTGTGGCCACGACGGTGGAGCTGCAGGTTCTGGTCCCGCTGGAAACCCTTATTGCAGATTTCGCACACGAATCTGTTTGTGGCCAGCAAAGTTTTGGGCGATAGAGCAATCACCTCCGCATCAGGATCTGGCAATTTTTATTCATATTTTTCAGTTATTTAAGGAAACAAGTAAGAAGAAAGAAGAAGAAGGCCCACTATAATAACAGATGATACTTTTTTCCAGCTGATTTATGGAAGTTATCTGCACCTGGCATTCCGGGGAGATTGCGCTTCCTCTTGAGAGTTGGTTTCTGATGGGTTGTCGGATTTCCGGAAGAAGAGTCGCCGGAGACGGTGGATTCATTCATGGCGGAAAAACCAATTAAACCCAAAATCGACGGTAATTTCCTGGGTTTTGCTAAAAGGGGAAGTATCTCAGAGGGGCCATTTGTGCTATGAATGGGGAGATTAAAAACAGGAACATCAGTCTTTCGTATTTGACAGCCAACTATCAGTGGCTCACAAATTCAGGACAAAAAGAAAACGGCAGAGATCGATCTCCAGTGAGATTTCTAAGGGCCGCCTGCGAAATGGAGAGAGATCTTGACAGATACACAGAACTTGTAATGAAAATAGATAAATTATTTCAACGTCGAGAGTTAAAATCTAATTGATGCTGCAAAATTGGGCAGGCTATAGTATCAGCGGCGCGAGGTGAGCTTCTTTCTGCAAAGGCGGATGAGGAGAGAGAGAGAGAGAGAGAGAGAGAGAGAGAGAGAGA